TTTTTTTTTGTATTATTAAAAGAATTTTTCGTAATAATTTTAGATACAAAAATTAACAACATATTATACAAAACTAACAAAAATTTCATATTTACAAAACATATTATACAAAAATTTCATATTTACAATTATTTTACCTAATTGGTTTTTATTTTATTTTTAGTTTAGTTTTGAAATTATCAAAACTAACTAATTATAAAAATCAATGCATTGAATATATATACAAAATATTTTTATATTGAATATTGTATATATTTTTTAATTATATAATATTATAAATGATTCAATAACATAATTTTCTAAATATTAAAAAACTAAATTTTCTTTTTTTTGAATATTTATGTTGGTCAACGCCGGTCAAACTGGTCAATACCGGATTCCGGCGAAAAATGTATCGGAAAAAAATGTTTGTGATGTTGGCGACATGACTACATATAGTTCGTATATGTGGGCATGCGATACATATAGTTTGTATAGTTAGAGATACATTTTTAAACTTTGCATATGTAGCAATGTCTTCTCAGATAATTCGTGTAACCAGCCATATGTTCATATGATTCATAATTTAGTTTTTTTTTTTTTTAAAGTATTGGTTGTTTTATAAGGGAAGATTAATGGATTAGTACGTGTACGTCGTATCTTTCGAACATCTTAAAAGTAAGTTTTGGAAAAGACCATTTTTTAAAGTTCAAAAATGTACTTAATGTTTTTGTTCGTTGTCTATAATTTACACATGTACATGACCAAATTTGAACATAAATCGTGTGATAATATCGGCATTCAAACAAATCACTACACTATATATTTGTTTTGAAAAAAAAAATTGCATATCTTATTTGCCTAATTATTGGCCATTTGGGTGCTATGGACACCAATTTTCTCATTTCGTTATCCATTATTAAATCAAAATTAGGAGATTATGTATTCATTTTTAGATTGGAATTATGATTCATTGGTTTTTATTCTTACTGTTGGGATTAGTAAATGAGTTTATAGTTGCTTGGTCCAGTGAAATTTATAGTAGTTGATAAAAACTTTTAGTATCTAAGAAAAAAACGACGTTGTTGAGTGATTAGGAAGTTTGGGTTTCTTATATAAGAACTTTTTGTTTGCATTTTATGGATACTTTCTCCCTCGTTGGTATAATGTTGAAATGTTTTCTTGCACCAATTTACTAATAAACATTATGTATGTTAATAATAATTAACGGCATGAGTGATCCATTTTGTAAAGTAACTAAATAAGATTCTTTACGTGCTCAAAAATGACAACATCACGGGGTTTTGTTTCTAACATACCCCATCTATTTCCAAGCTTTCAAACTCATATTCTAAGGATACATTGAATCTAAAGAAAATATCATAATAGTTAAATGATGGAATGATGGAAGAATTAGTAGAAAAAAACCAGTTGAGATGAATTAAAAAAAATTAGCAAATAAATAAAATAAAATTTGCAACATCATCACTTGAAGGCGGCATAGGAAACGTTGGCGATCGCTAATGCTTCTTTGGATTCGATAACTACTTTTTCTCAATTTTTTCTATTGTAACCTTGTTTTTTATTTTCTTTTTGCCAAAGTTACTCTATCTTTAGGTAATGCGTTTTTGTAATACCTCACTTTCATTTTTAATGATATTTACAAGATTAGCAAAAAAAAGTTAGCAAAATGATGGTTTTTAAAGTAAATTTAGATTTATTTAATAATTATTGATATTTTCTCTAAATCAATTATCATTTTAAAATGTGTGAAATAGAAAGAAAATTGCATATAATTTTTGAAGTCTTATTATTTTGTACAAAATATTATAAATAGTATGTAACCGGTGGCATCATGTTCAAAAATATGAAAGTCCAAAGAAATCAAACATCTAAAACGTCCTAACGAAACGCAAAAAAAGGTTGTAATTTTGGAAGTATCCATAGTCAAAAGCAGCGCAACCATACTCAGTTAAGCAATGCAATTGGTCAAATTACTCCAACCTACCAGTATCTCAGTTTTTAGTTCCAACCATTTTTATTTTTTTATTTGGATAAACCATATAAATCTAAACGAAGTTAGAAAGATTCGGTTTCTTTCATATTATTTTATTACAAAATAATAAGAAATTTGAAAATGTAAGTGATTATAATCGCTTTTTTCAAACACAAAAGAGAGAAATTTAAAACAGGTAATTGTGTTCACATTTTAAGCCATAAACAGTCACAAAATCGTAAATAATGATAATGTGAAAACGGTTGCAACCGCGTACATGATGATGAAGAAAACGTACACTAACTAATGTCACACCATTCAAACAAATTTAAATGACTTTCCCTAAGCGACTTCTGATATTTTCAAAGACTTTTACAAACTCATACTTTTTTGGTAATACTAGTACTATTTATTTCTCAAACTGTATATTATAAGATGAAGAAGTAAACAACAAAAATAGTTGCGGAAGTGACAAAAGAGTTTTAGGCATTGGAAGTGTGTTGTGTGGAAATTACGGCATCGTAGGCCTCGTCAATGCAAAACCCTCGTGGGTCTCACTTTCCAGATCTATCTTGAAGTGCGATAAGGCCTCTTGTGAACC